ACTTCCCAGTAAGGAAGGTTCCATCAACCTAATTAAATATTAGGAAGTAATTAGTATGAAATTTACTTGGTCTGCAAGAATAGAAACATTTCAAATAGTAAACATGTGTTAAAATACCTGAATAACCGGTATGCAGAACGCAAATCCGTCAATGCATGGTTTGAAAGCCCAAAAAAGACGCTGAAACATCACTTCTCCTTTACTCGAACTTGATCCTCAGTGTATACATTGTTGTATACTGGCACGAAAAAGGTCCCAGGGTTGGACTCCTCCATTGCGACCATAAGTCTAGGGAGTAAAGCATACGAATCCTCCCAATCACCATACACCTCAGCATGGCATTCTGCTTTCCATGCCATGCTTTTTTGTACCTTATCGTGTAAGAATGTCGATCCTTCACCTCGGCCATGATAGCTTTGACCTTGATATCTGGTTGTGCTTCAATAAGGTGTTTAATAGTTCTCCCAATTTTCTTTGCTTTAAGTTTCCTGTGATCCTGGGAACGTATGGACGAGGAGCAAGTGTGGTTGGTCTCAGCTTTTCGAATCACCCAGGCACCCTTTCTCTTCATATTTGCAGCCCGCAGTTGCCACGTACAGCCCTCTGCATCATTCTTGCATATGACATGTAATTGTTTACTGTCAGAATATTTTACCTTCCACTCAAAATTGCGCCTCAAGGCCTCTTTGGTAAAGGCATCCTGTACAGCGTCCTTCGATGAGAACGCCATACCCACCTCCAAATTGGTTGTCGGATTATACACTGGCGTAGGGACAAAGTCGGGGGCATCATTCTGACTATGTAAAAATTGAGTAGGAACCTGTGTGTAGTATGGCGTCGGTGCCTCACGAAATACCGCCTTGTCGTTGTTATCATCAGTATCTTCCTCCTCGCTCACTTATCTCAAATCTTCCTCAGTATCATCGTCGCTCGAGTCGAATGGATAGCTCGGCCCAGAAGGATCAACATGACCACCATCACCAACATCGTCTTCTCGCTCATGTGAAGTACACCCTGCTCGAATGGTATTCTCGATTTCAGCCCACTCAGGCCCCCAAGCAGGCCATTGAACGCCATCGGCAGGTTGATCCTGTTGCGAGTATTCTTCCGATGGCACCCATCCTACACTACTACCTCCACCGTAGTTGATTAAACTACCACCCTCTCCGTAACCTCCTGTATAACCACCTCCTTCGTAGTTGCTCGAACTACCACCGAATCCGTACCCTCCTGCAAAACCATCATCATAAGAATACTGGTGAGAATGAGTTTCACCGACCGCCTCAGTCTCAACATACACCTCTGCTTGCCGCATCCCGTTATCGCTTAGGAACTGTAACATCATCGTAACCGCGTCATCATCGTTTATGACAACTTCTTGGTACACAAGCCCGCCAGTACTGATACATGGATACCGGTAAGTAATTTTACCAAGTCTCGTATGTCCGCTCGTACAACCCCTGTCTGCACAAATATCACAGAGTTCTTGAAAATTGAATCGCGACTCAATTTTCAGCTTAGTGGATACACCGTCCTCATAATCAATCCCTATGTCAGAGTTTGTAATTCTTCCATTCCACTGAATAATAAGCTGAAACTTCTTGAATTTACCCATATCTAAAATTTACAATAAGTAACTATTAGCATAATTCCATTAATTCATAACATCGGCCATATTTGCTACGATAAGTAATTCATAACATAACAATATAACTACTAAAAACAACCATTAGGAATTAATACGAAAATTAAATCATACCGAAACTTCATGTTCTGTGTATGTTGCTCGATTTTGGCTACTGAAATTTGAAGAGGGGGGAGGGATTACGTTTTTAGAACTGCAGGTGGGAGTGGTATTTAAAGGAAAACCGGACAGTTTTCACCGCCTTTGTCTCAAATGGTGAACAACATCACCGCTTTTGTCTCAAACGGTGAACATTAGGTAGTTGTGACCTAATTTTCACCTACCAGGTTAGGTAAACGTGGGAAATAATCACCGCCTTAGCCTAAGGCAGTGAATATGTTCCCCGCTTTGCCCTAAGACGGTGACGTTTTCACCGCTTTGTACAAAGACAGTGAACACGTCACCGTTTTATTTTAAAACGGTGATATGTTCACCGTGTTTGACAAAAGCGGTGATTATATTCACTGTGTTTGTCAAAAATGGTGAATGCCAAACTTGTGTAGTTTTGGACATTTTTTTATAACTTATGTATTTTGAGAATTTTTTTAAGAACTAGTGTACTTTGGGATTTTTCCCCCAATACTATATAGTATTATAAAATTCCTCCACTATAAGGTTACTCACCCAATCTGCTACCACGCCGTCACTAAGCAGAGAACAGCCTAGTTATTCTGCTAACTTGAAGATTCGTTAGTATATACTAACTAATATCCAAAATGTATGAACTAATATCCAAGTCTGCTGAGTATCTAGATAGCGCAGACTAGTATTCAAAACATCACAAACTAGTATCCAGATAGCAGATACCAACTAATATCCACAATCAACCAACTAGTATTCAATAGGGATACTCTTATGTGTTATCTGGATACTAATTATGTGCTGTATGGATACTATTCTGTGTTGTCTAGATATTAGTTTGTGAATTTGGGATAATAGTTTATTCATGGTGGATATCAGTTAGCAAACTTTGAATATTAGTCTGTGCTCTCTAGATATTTTAGTACTTGGATACTAGTTCATGTATTTTGGATATCAGTTAGTATCTGCTAACGAATCTTCAAATTAGCAGATTAACTTTCCTCCGCGTAGAGAGATTAGGCCATTGCATCTTAGAAGAAGTTAGAGAGTTTAAGTGGAAACCATTGAGATTATCCCCTGGAGGGCCTCCCCTTTCCCACCTTTTCTTCGCTAATGATCTGGTTCTCTTTGCTGAACCTTCCTTGAAACAAGCAGATGTCATTAATAGATGTGTTGAGAGTTTCTGCTTGGCTTCAGGAGAGCTTGTAAGCAAGGAGAAGTCCAGGATTTTCTTCTCCAAGAATACTAAGGATAGGGACAAGAAGAATGTGTGTCATAGGCTTGGAATTCAGTCAACTTTAGACTTAGGAAGGTACCTTGGTGTTCCTGTCATTCATGGGAGGATTACTAGGAACACGTATAGGTACATAATTGACAAAATTGACTAGAAACTCACCTCGTGGAAAGCTAGAACCTTGTCGTTAGCTGGGAGAGTGACCCTTGCACTCTCAGTTCTTAATGCCATCCCTTATTACGCTATGCAAACCACTCTGCTTCCTGCCTCTGTTTGTGAATTGATTGATAAAAAGATTAGATGTTTTGTTTGGGGATCCAATGAGGAGAAAAAGAAAGTGCATTTGGTTTCTTGGGATAAAGTGTGTCAACCTAAGAACCAAGGGGGACTTGGCTTAAGAACTGCTAGAAGTTTGAACATGGCTTTCATGATCAAGCTTGCATGGCAAATTCTTAATAATGGTTCTGATCTTTGGGTGCAGGTGATGCAAGGAAAATACTTCAAACATGTTGATGGGCAGATCGTGGCTATGAAAAGAAGCAATCATTCTGCTTTGTGGAAAGCGATTGTGAAGGCAATGCCCCTCATGAGGAGTGCCACCTGCTGGAACATTAGGAATGGAAGGACAACAAGCTTCTGGAATCACCCGTGGCTGGACCATGACATCACGCTGAGAGACCATATTCTGCAGACTGCTGACTTGCAGCAGGAAGATAGTTCAGTTGCGGAGTGGACTGATGACAATGAAGAATGGAACTGGCAGAAGCTCCATGAATGCCTCCCCCAGAACATTATCTCCCTGATTGCTGGTATGGAACCACCTAAAAGCAACCTGGGAGAGGACAAGAGCATATGGGGTTTGGAAAGGGATGGAAGGTTTAGGTTGAAGTCAGCATATAGCCTTGCAGCGGACCAAACCAATTCTGAAGGTGAGTCAATGTGGAAGAAACTCTGGAAATGGAAAGGGCCAAGCCGCACCAAACATTTTCTCTGGCTTGTGATGCATGACAGGCCACTTACCAACAAGGAAAGAGTCAAGAGGAAGATGACTACTGATGGAAACTGCAGCCACTGCAAAGATGTGGAAGAGACTACAGAGCACAATCTGAGGAAATGCAGCAAAACAACAGCCATCTGGGAAAAATTCATGTGCAAAGTCACTAATAAAGAAAGCAATCTGCCCTTTAAGGAGTGGATGTCTGCCAATTTAAGTGATGATACCCATGGCGTCGATTTTGGACGTATTGTGTGGCAACTTTGGAAACAAAGGAATGAAGAGTGTATGGATGGGAAGGCTTATGTGGAAAAGTCCCTCATCTGCAGAATTGAGGCTTGGTTCAGCATTTACAAAATGGCACTGCACAATGTTGAGCGAAGCTTCAAACCGCCTGTTGAAAGAAGAGAAGAGGAAATCGGTTGGAGGCCTCCTCCTGAGGGATGGGTACAGGCTCAGACTGATGGCTCTGTCCTCTCTCCCTTAGGGTCTACAGCAGCTGGAGGTCTCCTTCGTGATAGCCTTGGTAGATGTAGCTCTGCCTTTGCCTGCAATCTGGGGAAGTGTTCGATTACTGCTGCTGAGCTGAAAGGGGCGATTGTTGGTTTGCAGTTGACTTGGGAGAGGGGTTTTCGAAAAGTGCAGCTTAAGTTGGACTCAACTACTGCCATTGCTATCATTAGGGATCGTTCTGATGATGATCACCGACACGGAATTCTGGCTAAACATGTGAACAACCTTTTGGATCGTGACTGGGACGTCTCTATTTCACATGTGTATAGGGAAGGAAATCGCACTGCAGATTTTCTGGCTAACTTAGGCCATAGTCTCACTTTTGGAACACATCATGTTGATGTGTGGTGTTCAGATCTTTGTAGATGGCTTGACTATGATGTTATGAGAATTTCCCAAACTCGGATTATTAATACATGATTCAAGGCGCTTTTGTGCCTGCCTTCTTACCGAAAAAAAAGAGAAGGAAAGGGAAGTTGTCTCTCCTCTTGCTTCTCTTTTGAATTTTGCCTCTTCGAATTTTTTATTTTTATTTTCACCGGGATATACGCATGATTACGATACAGAAGAAGAGTCTCTAGAAAAAGCAAGCTCGACGACAATGGCGGCCTCTAACTAGTTAGAGTTACCTACCTCCTCCTGAACTTACGTTCCCCACCAACCACAAAGTCTCGCTTTTCCTTCTTCCTTCATTCCTTACAGAGGCCCGTACAATCCTCCGATGGCTTCTATTACTCCTCATTCCGCTTCTTTCCAGACCCATCGCGGACGCCGCCGCCGTCTGCATTCCTCGTCGCTTCTTAATTCGTCGTTGTCGCCACGCAGCGTTTCACAGCTTGACTTCCGCCGCCTATCAAGTCCTCCCCCGGCGCCGCGAGCTTTGGCGGCGGCGGCTTTGATCGACGACAGGGAGGGAAACAGAGGACGGAGTAGGCATGGTGGCAAGTTTGCAACGGCGGCCACGAAGAGGAATGTGTTCAGCGAGGGAATAGTTAGCGGCGGCGGTGAGGAAGAAGGAGCGAATTCAAACTCCTTCGAGGACGAACAGTTCGTGAGGTGGTTCCGGGAAGCTTGGCCTTATCTCTGGGCTCATCGGACCGGGACTTTTGTGGTTATTATCTCTGGTGAAATTGTGTCCAGTCCTTACTTAGATGCGATTCTCAAGGCAAGTTCGTTGCTTTAATATCTGGGTAGTCATTTTTGCTGCCCACCAGCTGATCGACGAATTGACCCTTTCAAACTCTCTCTTTCTTTTACTTTGTAATCAGTCATTGATGGGTTTTACGCATCTCCTTTTTGCAGGACATAGCATTTCTTCATCACCTGGGAATTAGGTTCGTGATCGTTCCAGGGACGCATGTTCAAATTGATAATCTGTTGGCTGAGAGAGGTAACTTGTTGGTGTTGCTCCTGTCTTGTCAAGCTCTTGTGCATCTTCCGCAGTCCCACTCGATGGCAATTTATGAGGTACGATTGCTTATTTGCAGGGCATGAGCCTAAGCATGTGGGGCCGTACAGAATTACTGACCCAGAAGCTCTGGCTGCATCAATGGAAGCGGCTGGCAAGATTCGGGTGATGATAGAGGCTAAACTTTCTCCTGGACCTTCCATATGTAATGTGCGCAGGCATGGTGACAGTAGCAGGTGGCATGACGTGGGAGTCAGTGTTGCTAGTGGGAACTTTCTCGCAGCCAAGGTACATTTTCAATGCAGAACAATTGGTACTTTGAGAGGATAAACCGCTAATTCTTTGTATTGCTTCCTTCTTTATTTGACCATTAGCACAATGGTCATGCCTTCATCTAAATTCTTTTATGATGTCCTTCTGTAGAGAAGAGGAGTTGTTGGAGGTGTTGATTTTGGGGCAACAGGTGAAGTGAAGAGAGTAGATGTTGACCGTATGGGTGAGAGGCTTGACAGTGGTTGCATTGTTGTGCTAAGCAACTTGGGCTATTCAAGCTCTGGTGAAGTTTTGAATTGCAAGTATGTTGAGCACCTCTTTTCTATATACTCTTGAATGATGAATCATTTCCACAACTCGGAATAGCTGTGCACGAAGTTCTCCGTTCAGTGAAATAGTTTGTCCAATATATGATATTTCTTGGGTATGCAATGATACTGCAACAATGATGTTTACCTAATCATATTGGGAACTGCTGTTTATCTTTCTTGACGTTTTCAGCACATACGAAGTTGCTACAGCTTGTGCCTTAGCAATTGGAGCAGACAAACTTATTTGCATAATGGATGGTCCTATTCTTGATGAGAATGGGCACCTCATTCGTTTCTTAACTCTCGAGGAAGCAGACACTTTGATTCGTGAACGGGCTAAGCAAAGTGAGGTAGCCGCTCATTATGTGAAGGCTGTTGCAGAAGAGGATCCTTCTTCTTCTGTCGAAGATACGGATTCCATTTCCATAGTTGCTTCCTCACAGAATGGGATAGCTGTCAACACGAAACACAATGCAGCATTTCATAATGGTGTTGGTTTTGACAACGGAGGTGGATTGTGGTCAGGAGAACAAGGTTTTGCCATTGGTGGTCAGGAAAGGCTCAGTCGATCGCACGGTTATCTCTCGGAATTGGCTGCTGCAGCTTTTGTTTGCAAAGTAAGTTGAAGATCTTTATGTTGATGTTTACTGGTGTCTGCTTTGTCTTTTGGGCTTACCTTGAATCCTAGTTTTTGCCAACCCAAGTGTGCTTGAAAGTGGATACCATAGCAACCTTCGTTTCTCCTATGCTGCTTTCATCTTTCGATATACAATTAGTAAATTTTAAAGACTCCTGATAGGTATTGTTCTTTTATGGAGTGGCAATTTATTAGGAACAGTAACACTATTTTTTTTGGGAATTTGTCCCACAATGATGTCTTTTAATTCAAACCTAAATTTATTTTTTGTTCGTACTAGTGAACCTAGCACGGTGCTGTGCAAAGTAGGTTGAATTTTCAGTCCACAAAATCTATTGTTGTATTAGTATTTCATGAAACAATGGAAGATCAAGTAAACTTACATTGTTGTATCAATTTTTTTTCTCTTTCTTCTGATGTAGAGTAAAACTCTTGCTTTATTTGCTTAGGTCATAAACTTGCATTTGCTATTTCAGACTTACTTATCAAATAGTTTTTATGATTGTTTCATCACAAAGCCTGCTCTGCTGTTCTAGTTATTTCAGAGTCCAGTTGTTCAATCTCAAGTGTCACACCCTCTGGCATATCTTCCTTTCAGGGTGGAGTCCAAAGAGTGCATCTACTAGATGGTACAATCGGTGGGGTTTTACTGTTAGAACTCTTCAAAAGAGATGGGATGGGAACTATGGTAGCTAGGTACGTGGCTGTCTACAACTCCATTCAAATCTCATATTCAGAAACACTACCGTTGGTTCTTTGTTTGCCTACTTGCTTATTGCATTTATAAATAGGTTAAAGCATAAATGTGGTAGACCAGGGAAATTATTATGTTATGCCACTTGATTGTTACACGTGGTTGTGTGATTAAACTTTTGTGTAGTGTTTAGTGATGCTTTCTTTGTGCTGAATCATTTATGCGCAATTGATGTCCCCTGTCACAGTGACCTATATGAAGGAACCCGAATGGCTAGGCCGAATGACCTTGCTGGAATAAAGCAGATCATACAACCTTTACAAGAAGCAGGAGTGTTGGTTCGAAGGACGGATGAAGAGGTTGTTTACTCCTGCGCTGCATTTTCATACTGTGTTGAACTGCTGGATACTTGCTAGATAATGCCTTTTCACTTGATCCAGAACTCACTGCTTCAATTTATCTCTATTCAAACTGCGTTGAACAGCTGGATACTTGCTAGATAATGCCTTTTCACTTGATCCAGAACTCACTGCTTCACTTTATCTCTATTTCTGCTTTGCAGCTGCTTAAGTCGTTAGATTCGTATTATGTGGTGGAAAGAGAAGGTCAAATCATTGCTTGCGCTGCTCTTTTCCCTTTCTTTGAGGATAAATGTGCAGAGGTAGCAGCTATTGCAGTTTCTTCTGATTGTCGTGGGCAAGGGCAAGGAGACAAATTGTTAGGTATGTAGGTCCTTGTTCTGAAGTTTTTGCTTTGAAGCCATGAACTATTGTTCTAAATGGGACTGAACCGGACCATTGTTCTACAGATTATATGGAGAAGAAGGCATCCTCACTGGGTGTGGAAACGCTGTTCCTCCTGACTACCCGCACTGCAGATTGGTTTGTTATCCATGTCCTTTGTTAAGAAAATACACTGACAGTTGCCTGTCTTCTTTTGCTCGAACGAGTGTTGCCATTATTATCCCATGAATCCTGTGAATGGTTGGCTTTTATGTTTGTTTGCAGGTTCAAAAGACGGGGTTTCTCTGAATGTTCAATTGACCTGATTCCTGAACGAAGAAGGAAGAGGATTAATTTGTCTCGTAACTCAAAGTACTACATGAAGAAGTTGCTTCCTGATACAAGTGGGATAACGCTCACTGCCAGGCATTCAGCTGGCAATAAATAGCAATAGCCGATCCAAGTCGTGACTTAGTAGTTGTACAGAATATAGCTCCTGGCTGGTGTGTTGTAACGGATGCCCTTTGAGGCTCAAAGCTGTATTGGCATTTGGTCAGCGGCTTGACTTGAGAATCAGAAATTGAGCAAACACTCAAGCTAGGAGTTGTTTGTATTTATCCTATTGTATATTTTGTGCCAGAAGAAACGGAATAAAATATAAATGTAGCTGTGGAAGGTCGTCTTAATGGTTGGGGTCTACTGTTGCTTGGTGGTTTGGAGTGGATAATCGCTTTAGGGGTCGTTTGCTTTTGGGATTTGGGTGATGGATTTGGAACCCAAATCCCAAGCATCATGGAGTTGACACAAATCCTTTGTTTGTTGAGGGACACAAATTCGTGGGGTCCACGGATTTGGACCCCTTTTTTAGATCCAAATCCGTGGACCCCACGGATTTGTAAATCCCACATTTCATTTGGGATTTGACAATAGAAGGAAAAAATGTGAGACAAATCCATCACAAATACATGATAAAAAATCAACTAAACAAACAATGTACTCTTCCAAATCCATGATGCAACAAATCCATCATAAATCCAAAGGTTTTTAAAACTCAAAACCTTCATTTTCAAATCCAACAAGCAAACGAGCCCTTAGTCTTGTTCTTGTCAATTTCAATCGATGATGACTAGGAATAGGAAAATAAAAAATTTCACTTCGAATTTCGGACAGGAAGATCTATTCCTGTCTCCGCACACGAGGCTGATTAATTAGGTTAAGAAAAATATGAGGAACGGGCACTGATTGATTGGCTTTAGAAAAGGTCCGCGAACCGACTTTCAATTAGTTCTTTTGTAAAAACAAATTGTATGTGATCATCAATTACCTTACACGTTAGAATATTTTTATCCCACATTCATTCTTATTTCCAAAATACTATTGATACATTTTAACAATATGAAACAATTGAACCACGATTTTAGTACAAAATATCATATCACAGATTTTTCCGGTATAAACCTCCGGTGGTATGATTTTAAAATCCTTGGCTTATTGCGATACTTTTCTTCCCAAGAACATCTCAATACAGATGACCGAACTTGTACAAAGATTAGAATCAAGAATATAGAGGGCTAGTCGTTGCATTATTACTTTAACCAGACAAATCTGCAGCAAAATACAGTGTTGCCACCTGCTGAGAATCTTGCAGTGGGGGAAAAGGTAAAGACACTCAAATTTGTGCAACTTTTGTCCTACTAGGGAACCATGCCAGCGGCAGCTGATAACCAGAATTATTTTCCCTCAGCTTCTGGCAAGCCCTTGAACTTGAAGTTCTCAGCGTATGACTTCGGCTGGAAGTGAAAACAAAAAATCTCAAACAATGTTAAATCATGCAGTTTAATTTGAACGAGCCATTAGATGAAAGTATAAGAATGGTTTGTATATGATGTGAATCATTCATGCAAAGACTTGGTCTACAAGGTGGAAGACACTACTTAAAGTTCGCAATCACTTAAAAGGACTACAGCAAATGAGAGATACAGGTTCTATATACTTGATTAACATCACACCTGAATCGGTTAGGAATACAAGTGTCTTCTAGAAAGTATCAGAACCCCAGGAATAGAAGAGGCTTATGAGTCATTGGACAGCAATAAAGTTAATTCAATGATATTCTATATTGCGGGTTACGAACAAGTATTCGACCATAGAAACTAGATGCGGTGAGGAACTATCACAGTTAGTTTTTGTAACTTGCTAGCTCCTAAGAGAGTCAGTGCACAATATTGACCTGGAAGTAACAACTAGAATCAAATCTCTACAAGAACTACACAGAGGAAAATCACACACCTTCAGAAGTGGAGTTTGGTACTTTTTTACCTGAAAATAAGCCAAAGGAATATTGATCAAAACAAGCAATTTAAACTAGTGATTTTGCTTTAATAAGAAAATTATATATACTTACAGCCAATCATATACATTAAACTGCATAACCAGCTAACTGGAAAGATAGAAACTAGCGGACATAAATTACACCACCGAACCACAGTAGTTACCCCACTTAACTCCAGATGTTTCAAAAAATCACAAAATCAGTAGGAAAGGCCAGCAACATATGAAGGATAAACATGATCAAAGAATTTAAATGGGTAAATGAAAGAGGATGAGTGTTGCATCTTAAACTTTTACCATATGAAGGGATGATAGAAAAGGTAAGAACTTATGGTGTTTCAAATTATGGAGGAACTTCAAATGCTTGATATTGGCTGAATGGTGGTAGATGTTTATGCAGTACAATTATGACAGCACTTGCTTAGAAACTTTCAGTGATAAAACTAGAAGAGAATCCAAGAAAGAAACATGCTTCTCTGTTGAATTCTACAATGACAGCAAGAAAAAAAACCTACCACATAGTCCCAACCATGTCTTGCAGCAAAATCCTTGGCAGCTGCTTCGCTTTCGAAGCTAAGTGCAGAATCCCCAACATTAGCATATGGGTCACCTGTGGACGTCCAACCCATCAAAGGGTTTTCCCACCTTCAAACAAAGTTAGAAACTGCATGAGCTGCCGAAGGTTAAAAGGTCCTTTCCACAAGAGACATAGCCACTAAATGCAATCCTGGAAGGGGGTAGTGCATGTAAAATGAAGGAACTTTCATGTCATTGCACAATGGAACTAGGAGCACTATTTCATAGCTTTCATTTTCACTTTTTGCTCGTATGGAAAAGGAAACAAAACAAAAAAAATTCATAAAGTTTGGAAGCTATGTCTGCAATACAGAAACATTAGAAGAGTTTGTAAAAACTGGAAAGGAATAACCAACAGTAAGAAACTAGAGCAATCGAAGTATCAAAACATTATTCATATTGTCTAGTCAAAATGCATAGCAAAACATTGGTTTTACGACCTACCAATTCAAGTTGAGAACAGAAAAATAAAAAGGAAAAAAAAACCACAACAGAAACCCTATAGAACTAACATAACTTTCAATGTTCCAATAGCAAGTACATAGATTAACACATACTTCTGAGTAGACACAAAGTTGATTTTCCACTTCCCAAGTTTCCCGGATCCTTGCTGAGTTGCAGTTCTAGCAGGGGAGTAAATTACAACCTATAATGCACACCAATCCCACAACAACGCACGAGTTAAGAATATAAGACTGTGACAAAAGCAACCAGTCAAACAGAAAGCACTGCAACCAGCTGCATGAACCCAATACAGGTTTTGCATAAAGAAAGGAAGAAAAATGGTCTTGGACACGCATTCTGGAACTAGTCCAATTAGCTATGTTGAAGGATTTGAAAGAAACAAAAGAGAAGAAGAAAGAAAGCTCGTGATCTATACAAAGAGTAGAGCAAAGATACTATTAACCTCTCCCGCTTTTAGTTCGGTACCAAACAGGGCATAACGAGACACAATGCAGGAACTTTGCATATGTATATTAGCTCCAACTCTAAGGATCCAATATGAAATTTTATCAGATATCCCTAAAAGGACAAGGAAATTAATCCCTCCTGATGCAGCTAAACTTCGTAAATCCAGAAAGGGTTTCGACAAATCACAATTACCCATCATCACATTGCAACATCTCTTACACATCGCTAAACTACCACACCACTGAGAGAACATCAATTAATTTTTCTGACAATAGAGAACGTCAATTGAGAAGGGCGAGTTCAGCCAAATTAAAGAGATCAAAACTTTCGATCCGCTAAACTACACCGACTAATTTATCAGGCACGGCCAAAAACCCTCGAGACATTTCTCAAAATCACGAAAGTAAAATTGACGTCGGAATCAAAATGGTTATCCGGGTTTACCCGCCGGCGAAGCTGCTCATGAGGAATACCGGAGACCATGCCGATCTCGCCGGGCTTCGTCTCCACCAGGGCATCGGAAGCTGAGGACGAAAACTGTCGGGAGATGGGGGAGAGACTTGCGCCAATGTTGCGGCAGCCGCGGCCACAAATTCTTTGGAGAGAGGCCGCCATATTCCGCTGAGGCCCCACTGGTACCGTCGTCGGCTTGGTGTGAGGGAGACGATGCGTAGAGAAACTCGGCGATGTAGGCTCGTGAGAACGGAGAAGGAAATGGAAGATTGTGAAAATTGAAAAGAAAAAAAAACTCGGCTGTGTTTGGTTCCCCTCTTATTTCATCAAAAAATTTAGTTATCAAATTTAACTTTAGATCAAGGGCTAATACCAAGGTTGTTAGCCAGTTTAGCTTGTTAGTCCGATCGAGTAAGTGGATGATTATTAATGATCTGATTGTGTATTTCGGTTTAGCTCGAATATATGAAAAAATATATATATTATTTATATATTTATAATTTATATCAAATTTCATCTACCATGGTTAGTAACACATAGTATCACACAAAAGTAACCGTTCGTACTTGAATCCAACATATAGTGAAATTCAAACACACTTAAATAATATCAATATTCAAATGTTCAATTTAAAATTCCAAAATTAGGGCTAAGTGCAGGGAAAACCGAAAAAGTTGCGTAATTCACAAACCAAAAGGAACCTCCAGCACGGGAACTTACAGCCGACAAATGTCGTCTTAGCTCTCCCTCCTCTCTAGCCAACCACCGCATCGTCCCTCCTCTCCAGTAGACCGTAGCTGTCGTCTCCAGCAGCGCAACAGGGTCATCGTCGCAAGCATCTATTGCGCCTCGTCCTCGCCGCCATCGCACAGTCTTCCTCCATAGTTGTCGTCGTTGATCGCCATCGTGCTAGTTGGAGAAGGTTTGTGACTCACACGTCCTTCCCTCTCTCGTTTGGTGGGTTGATGAATGATGAATAATGAATTAATGATAAATTATAGTAGGGTATGCTACTAATTTAAATGGAAAAGGGGTAATGCCCATAATGGTATGATGGATTGAGATTTGTAGGCATGAGTATGGTGGATTAAGAGCTTTTTGGTTCGATTTTTTTTCCAACATTTAATTTAGTGAGGCGACGATTAATCGCCCTGAACGCCAGGCGGTGACTCCCCGTCTAGTTGACGCCTAACGTCTTCTTGAACAATGTAATTTAGTAATCTCCTATACGCCTAACGTCTTCCCCTCTTTGCCCGAACCGAAATATAGCTCGGTTCGGTTCGGATTTTTTTGTCAAAACCGAATTTATGCAGCGTGAAGACGTCCCCTCTTTGCCTTCACCCATTACCTCGCTCTCGCTCCTCTTTTTGCTCTTCTCCGCTTTTTCTCCCTCTCTCCAGCTATCTAACTCTGCCTCTTTCCCATAAACAGAGCAACAAAGCCAACCC